AACCAGGAAGGATGCTTTCAGCACTGTTTCCCACTCATTTCTTTCCTTTACAAAAATGAAGGATGCTCTTTAAAAACAAAGTGGAATGTGTCCCAAGATCCAAAGATGGTAGCTTGGTGGAAGGAAGGAGGAAAGATTGGAAGGAAGACTAGGCATCTGGTGTTAGGGCTTCCCTCTGGGAGTGTTGCTGGAGATACACAAGTCAGTGAGGGTGCAGCTAGGAAAGGTTGCCACCGGACTGTCAACGCTGCTGCAGCTCTTGGGTACAAATGCGCTGCCAATGGGGAGAAACAGGGAACATGGGTTCTTGTGAGGACTGTGAGATTAGTTTAAGAACGGATAGAATGAGTCTAGAGAAGAGTGGGAAAGGGTTCTAATGTCAGAAATCTGAATGACTGTCATGTGCTGTGGATGGGACTAAGTTCAGCACCTTTGGCCTTGGCAGATTTACACCTGCACCCCAAATAATCTAGCTGTCACTTGTCTTCTCACTATTATACTTCACCTGGCTTTGGGGCAAATTTTACTGTGTTAGCGAGACATCTTGAGAGTGGACAATAGACATTGGTGGTGATGGTGTGCCGCTGGGATTCAGTTTCTGGATCTTTTAGAGAAATGTAGTTATAATAAGCCTGAAAACTGCATTAGGTGAGTTGGTAAAAATTAATGTGCAATTTCTGTAAATTAGAAACAAGTAACCGCTTTACCTGGCCACGTAGACCTGAGTGCTTTTGAAGTCTAAAAAGCAAGGGACATTTTTTGGAAGTACAGCCTCCCGTGTAGTGTTAGTCTACAGATGATATTTGGGCTTGGCTTACACAGACAACCTTCATGGAAGATGTGTTTCTGCCATCTAAGCCAAGGTTGTCCCATCACCTCTTCCTTCAGTGGGTGTATTGTACCATCAACTAATTTATATAAATTTCTTCCATAATTCCAACGCTGCTGAATCGTGATAAAGGATCTGTTAGCCTAGTGAGAACCATAGACTCCCAGATTTTCAAAGCTAGAACCCCTCATGTTTATGGATAGTAAAAGGCCTGAAGAAGAAAAGGAAGTAATTCCCCAAGGGGATTATTGAGAGTCTGCTGTGAAGCCAGCACTATGATTCAAGGTAAAGAATACAAATACCGCTCAATTGTAGATTATACAGCATCAGGAGAAATGGACGGGAAAATGGTTGTTTGCCCAAGATCACATGAGTAATGGTGTGCTTGGAAACAGAGGCCATGAAATCTGATAGCCAGTAAATATCTGCTTTGTAAATTCCTTAGCGATTGGATCCTCCACGTTATGGCTTTTGCTTTGGTGTCCTAACTACCTAAGCCTGGCAAGTTTGCTTACCAGTTCACATTCCCCACAACCTGTACTCCTTCCTACAATGTTTTAAGTACAGGTTGGTGCCTCCACAAAGGTCAACTGTCCTCCTACCAAATGGCAACATCCTAGCCACTGCTGCCACCTGCTGATTCTTTCCGGTATTACCAGCATTTGTTATTTTGTGTGTGTTTAGGTTGGCATGGAGCTCACTAGGTAGCCAGGCTATCCCCAATCTTCCATCAGCCCTTTTGCCTGTTTTACGATTGCTTGCATGCATATATTCTTCCTAATTTCTGAAGAGAAATCAGCCCAGGAAAGATAACCCCAAGAGGAACGTGAAGAGCTCAGCAAGCAGGTTTCCCGCAGCTGGGTTTCATACCGGCAAGTGGCTCTGCTACAGCAGCCGCTGCACATGAATGCTGGTTATTCTTCAGGAGGGCTGTCCCTTCTACACTCGGGCACTATCTTTTCTCAATAGACAACAAAACACACTCGAGATTGATTCTGTTACAGATTATCATCTGCATGCTTAAGGGAAGCTTGTTATTTCAAGACTGTGAAATCACAAGAAGTTGGTGTTCTTTAGCCATGTACCGAGATGGTCTACAGTTATCGTGAAACAGACAGGGTGGGTTAGCGTCAGAGGCTAATTAGGAAGACAGCACATTTCCTTCTCCATCACGTGTCTCCCACATGCTCAGTAAGGTCTTAGACACACTGGCCTCGGAGATTCCTGCCACCTTCCTGGCCCTGCACTACATACAGACTGAGTGCCTTCTTCACACACACACACACACACACACACACACACACACACACACACACACACACACACGGAGACTCACAGAGGCTTCCTAGTGAGAGCTTACTGAAGGTCAGAGAATCTGAGCTTGCTTTACCCAACAGGGCTGTGTAATAGGATGATTTGGCCATGGGTGTGGTTACCAGGTGTTTTAAAGGATCCTATACTTAGCTTTACATTGTGCTTTGATCTTGAAAGGGGGAGGTCTTTTGCCTCGCCCCTTGGCATTGTACAAAAAGCCCTTTGGAATAAACCTCAAGGCAACTGGGTATTGACCCAGGGCCCTCCCAAAGCTATCCTGTGTCTCTGTCTTTTTAAAAAAGTTATTTGCTTATTTGTTTATTTATTTATTTATTTTGGTTTTTCAAGACAGGGTTTCTCTGTGTAGCTTTAGAGCCTGTTCTAGAACTCACTTTGTAGACCAGGCCTCCCGAGTGCTGGAATTAAAAGCGGGCACCACTGCCGCCCAGCGTCTCTGTCTTTCTTATCATCTCTTTCTATCTTTCTATCTATCATGTCCTCATTCCTCTCTCCTCCCCCCAGAACCCTTCGACAGTTCAGAGCTGGACTCCAGCAGACACACACACACACACACACACACACACACACACACACACACACACACACACTGAAAAGGAAGATGGTTTCATGAATGCAATATTTGTTTGAATTATGCAGTGATTAGGTGCCTCCAAAACTGGCTCTTATAGGAGAATCACCCAAATTAACTGCTTATTAAAAATACAGACAACAGGTACAACCAAGTAATATTTTAGTATGAAATGAGTAAATATGACATAGAGTTATATCAACATGCTGAGGCTTGTA